CATGGTAGCATTGCTCACCTCAGCCCAGCTTGGTGGTCCACGTGGAGTGAGGGGGGAGGGAAGGAGGGCAAGGGAACAAGGGAGAGGGGGAAGAGAGGGGAGCCAGAGAGAGAGAGAGGTCAGAGAGATCAGAGTCAGAGAGCTCTATATTGCTGACCCACGCCTATATACCTTTTGGGGGTATGCCAGCCCACTAATTATAGGTAAAGACATACATCACAGGAAGGGGTTACACAATAGGTTACACAGTAATGAGGGGGTGGCCTCTGGGTCTCCATAGGAACCATTAACAGTAGGGTGAAAACTCCGCCTACAGGAGCCTGTCCACTGTCCCCAGAGGCAGGGAGCAGGCACTCCCCTGTGGTGGGATGGCAGCAGTCTGGCAACTGATTATTGCCCTCAGGGGAGGGAATGCCTGCACATCTAACCTCCCCCCCAAGGGGGTATGTGCTAATATCAATGGCAAGGGCTACAAATAACTCACAGATAAAATGCATGAGTAAAGGGTTTATTAAGGCAGTCAACAAGTTGTCGTGCCAGTGAGAAATGCTCAGGGTTGTTGATCAGGATATGTTACAAAGTTCTGGCAAATCTGCTAGTAAGTGTTCAAAGAGCACACGCTTAGCGAGAAGCCTGAGCCCAAAGGCACTCAGCAAACCCATCTTCGCCAATGAAGTGCCAGAGGCGCCCCACTCTGCAAGCCAGCTCCTGCACAAAAGCACTGAGCTTTCCTTGCTTAGTGTTGGGAAGCCCACCGCTCTGTGGCTTGGCTGCTGATCCTCTGAGGTTGTAGCTGTCTTCTGGGTCTAAGACAGCGTTTCTCAACCTGTGGGTCGTGACCCCTTTGGGAGTCGAATGATCCTTTCACAGGGGTCGCCTGATTCATAACAGTAGCAAAGTTACAGTTATGAAGTAGCAAATAATTTTACAGTTACGAAGTAGCAAATAATTCTATAGTTGGGGGGTCAGCACAACATGAGGAACTATGAAAGAGTTGTGGCATGAGGAAGGTTGAGAACCACTGGTCCAAGAGGTTCACGGTGCAGGAATCTTGGATCCAGAGGACTCGCTCTGCTCCCAGCTCTTGCTGGTAATGAGATCCCCCCTCCTGCTTCTCATAGGGCTCATTTTATACACAGCAGTGTGAGACTCAGGGAAATTGTTTGCAATTACTCACAGGTCGTTTGGTGGGAGTGAGACTCTGGCTAGAACCACATTAAATAATTCACTGCCCCTTGTCTGTTTACATGGGGT